ACACCTTTAGGAATGAGTGGCTGGATTAAGGAAGCACTTGCTGATATTAAAGAAAGTTTGTTGAAAGAGTGAGAGATCACGACAGAGCAGCAGGATCTCTGACTGAGTAACCCAGAGATCTCAACAAGCAAGGAGAAGCCATGAGGCAGTATCTGGAAAAAAAACTTAGAGCCCTTGAGGGACACTAGCCACAGCACACGTGGGTCACGGAAATCCAGCAGACAACAGACCAATCAGAGAACTACAGCAACAGAACAAGGGCAGACATGCTCTATTCCGGTTCCATCATGACCTTGCCAGATGCACGGGGGTCTTAGTCTTAGAATGAAACTTCATTCGTTTCATGAAGATCAGTTTCAAAAGTCCACCACCTACTCCAGTAATGGCATCTCCCAGCTGTGACACATTTAACACAAGTGTTCCCAAAGGGTTGCACACCAGCCTCTTGCAAGTTTCAATCTCTTCATTAATTGCCAGCATCTATAGACGTGGAAGCTACTGAAAATTCAAAGTTGCCTCCTGAACCAGAGACTTCATTTGAAGAGAATAATGGAAAAATAACACTTGGTCTTCCTGTTGAAACCCAGCTACGTGATAAGTCTTTTAACTTCCAGTCTGCAAAAATTCAGCAGCCTGGGCAATCTGAAGAAAGAGCGACCAGATGGGGATAAACCTCCAGCAGAAGACAGCCCATTCAGCAGCCTCCCTCCAAAGCTCCCGGACATGATGACAGCCTAATGGCCCCAGAAGAGCCAGCTCTTCTTTTGGCTGGGAATTTTTAAAATCCAAAGTAGTAAGAGGACAGCAATTGCCACCAAATTGGCTGAAACAGGAAAGGAAATGGCAAAGCACCTAGATCTGGGGGAAACAGGAAAGGAAATGGCACAGTACCTAGGTCTGGCTGATGCATCTTCTCGGCCAATAGGTTCAGAGAGGAACAGTTCCTTCCTGGTATCTCCACTGTCTCTGGATTCCAAAAAGAAATCCAGAAGTATCATGAAACTCTTTGGAAAACACAGAAGTCAGTCAACAACATTCAATGCAGATGACATGTCTGAGTCTGCGTGGTCTTGAGATTTGGGAAAGTCTAACAGTAACTTGGATATTCCATTTGACAATGAAGCCAAGGAACAAGTGTGCAGACTTCTACCTGAATTCTGGCCAAACACTTTTGTAGGCTTCTCAATAAGATCTAGAGAAGAAACTTGGAATTAAGCATTTACTTCATCAAAAGAAACTCCAGCTGGCATGGCAAGCCCTGAGAGCCAAAGAAGAAACCAGTCATAGATTTCACCTGGGCCTCTACAGGGATGGGTGATATTGGCCTCCCCCAATGTAAGGTTCAGTTTCATGAAGGGCAGGTAGGTGCTACGTTACGTAACTGTAGACAACTTACTGTCTTTGAAGGTTGTGAGAGGGCTATGCCATCTCAGTATCAAAAGTGCCACCCAAGCTCAGTGGTTAGGGTGCTGGCCACATGTACCAGGACTGGTGGGTTCGAACTCGGCCCAGGCCAGGTAAACAACAATGACAACAACAACAGCAAAAAAAATAGCTGGGCTTTATGTTAGGCACCTGTAGTCCCAGCTACTTGGGAGACTGAGGCAAGAGACTTGCTTAAGCCCAAGAGTTTGAGTTTGCTGTGATCTGTGATGCCATAGCACTCTACTGAGGGTGACATAGTAAATCTCTTGTCTCAAAAAGAAAAGTGCCATTAGGTCTTGAGGATCAATAACTTTGAACCAAACTGTTCATGGAGAATAGCATCACCCCATCAGTGATTCAGTGGTGGACCAACCATGGAGTGAAGGAACAGCTATGCTCCATGGGCTTGACAGAATATGCCCCTCAATCTCAGAGGCAGTGGTGTCCATGATGGGTTCATGGTTCTAGAACTTCAGTTTACTGAATAAATAATGGCTCAGTTATTGAAAATCCCGCCAAAGAAGACTTTGTTGCAAAGGCATTTGGCCACTCGTTTCAACCTTCTGATTGGTGCTGAGGCCCAACCCATGAAGCGAGAGGCCACAGGGTCATCAGACTATGTATGTCTAACAGCTACTGTCAAAGTGAAGCGAAAGAAACTTACTGTTAGTCATTTTCAGTATCTGAGAAAGAAGAAACAAGAAAATGGTCAAGAATATGTTTGTCCTATGGAATTGGGACAGGCATCAGGAACTACATCTAACAAAGGATCTGAACCCGGTTTGGACATGCGCCTGTATGGCAGAGAAGATTTGGACTGCTTAGAGAAGCTGGAGGAGTCAGAAGGGACAGCGAGACGGGCATGCTCTGAAGGCATCAACAATCTGACGCACGTGTTAGAAGAATGTGACGTGTTGGAGGACTTTGCTGCCTGTTCCCCCAGTGCCAGCCTCACAGACAAAGATGCAGAATTTGACCCAGCACCTGGATGAACTTGAGGAGCTCTTACCTTCCCTCCACATTCTTCTCCCAGACCTCACAGTATATATACAGCAAGCAACAGACTGTGTATTGTTTACGGTTCCAACTCCTGCTTATTGAGAAGTAGAAAAAGAAAACAGGAGAGACTTGCCAATTTTAGAGTTGCCATGAAAAAGAAGACGCTCACAAATGAGAGTATAATTGTTTTCCCTCTACTTAATGTAAAAATCTGTAATATATTCTACTTAATAAAGGGTTGCATTTAAGATGAAAAAAGAAAGGCAAATTTCAAGACTCTAATGGCATTTTATAGAATCAGCTTCTGGGTACCTTAGTGAGTCCCAAGCTAATTGTGAAGATCAGGGTCAGATCTGTCCCTGACACACCACAAGAGTTGACCCTTCAGAAGGGAAAGGAGACTTAGCAGACAGGGAAATGTTACCATTCAAATGCTGAAATTTTTGAGGTTGTTACAGGAACTGAATTTCTCTCCTCCCCATCCCTCCCTTCCTTATTAGAGAGAGGGTCTTTGTTTATTGTCCAGGCATGACAGCAGAGGCATGATCATAGCTCACTGAAACCTCAAATTCCTGGGCTTGAGGAATCCTCCTGCCTCAACCTCCCGAACAGCTGAGATCACTGGTGTGCACTGCCACACCCAGCTAATTTTTGTATTTTTTGTAGAGATGGGGTCTTGCTATATTGCTCAGGCTGATCTTGAACTCCTGACCTCAAGGGATCCTTAGCCTCCCAGAGAGTTATGATTACAGGTGTGAGACATCACACTAGACCAAAGAATCTTTTCTTGAGACAGGTGAGGAGTCGTGTGCAGAGCAGAGGGGCACAGGTTTGGGGCTGGGCAACTGCCACTTACTAACTTATGAAAGTTACTGTATCTCACTGAGACTGTTTTCTCATCTGTAAACTGCTGAAAATAATAATAAAAAAAAACTTACCCTTGCATTGTTGTGATATAAGAGATATGAAAACACCTTTTAAACCATAAAGCTGCGTGATAAAGTCATTGTCACACACCCACAGCTGAGCTCTGTAGCTCTGCCCCTCACCCCTCAGGCCCACGTGTACCTTGCTTCTGGCACTTCTTATAACCTATGTGGTTCTTGTCTGTGTCCCTGACATCCCTCTCTGTTGAAACAGAAACCTGCTTACATTTCCGGAACCTTGTTGTGGACTGAATGGACAGCGGTGGGAGGTGAGAAAGATTAAATGAGTCTGAAGGGCAGGGCCCGACTCCAATAGAGGGAGAGACGGGAGCGTGCTCTGATCACCACGTGAGGACACAGTGAAAGGGTGGTCACCTATATGCAAGGAAGAGACCCCTTATCAGATACTGGCCCTGCTGGCTACCTGACCTTGGACTTCAGGTCCCCAGAACTGTAAGCAAATACATTTCTGTTGCTTAAGCCCCAAGTTTATGACACTTTGTCATGGCAGTCTGAGTAGACTAAAACAAACTTGCACCACACCACACAGGACTGATTATACAGAAGGCTCCATAAAGGGTTGACAGAGGTGGGGTGGGAATTTTCACAGATTACTTCAAAACATCATTTTTGTCAGGCGTTAAACTTCCCTTCCCAACAGCAAAATCGTCACATCTGGTTAGCAGTGGCTACATTGACTGCTCTGGACCACAGGTAATTTCCCTGCACACCAACAGGCAAAGGTGCCCGTGGGAAATGAGAGGCCTGAAAAGTGGAGAGGGGTGCTACAGATTGAAGGGTGTCTCCCTGAAACTCATGCGTTGAAGCCCTACTCCCAGTTTGATTGTATTTGAGGGGAGGGCTTCCAAGAGGCATGAAGCTGAATGAGCTCATGAGGGCAGGGTCCTACTCCTACAGGACTAGTGACCTTGTGAGAAGAAGAGAGAGGGACAGAGACTGTCCACCATGCCCAAGGGCTTGCACCAAGGAAAGGCCACATGAGTACACAGAGAGTAGGTGGCTATCTGCAAACCAGGAAGAAGGTCCTCATCAGGAACTGAGCTGGCTGGCACCTTGAACTTCTCAGCCTTCAGAAGCATCAGAAATAAATTTCTGTTGTTTAAGTTGCCCTATGTATTTTGTTAGGGGAGCCCATGTTGACTAATATTAACACAAGGGGAAAGGCCAGCCCTGAATGACTGAGGTCTGTAATGTAAGAATCTGAAGGGGAAAAAAACATTAATTCTAATCATGTGGACTGCTCCAGGAAAAATCTGGGATCTTAAACTCTTTCTTTAAAGTCTTTATGGTTAGTTTTGCCAATTTTTGTTCACTTGATCAGTATAATTTTTTATATGGCAATATAATTCACAAACCATAAAATTCGCCCTTTTAAAGTATATGATCCAGTGGGTTTTAGTGATAATCTATATTCCTATGTTTTCTTTTTCTTTCTCTTTTTTATAAAAATATCTGGATTACTTTTAAAGTGGTTCTGAACAGAAGAGGAATTTTCCTTCACACAGCCATGAAAGCTCTTTCAAGTGAGCCACTTGTGCTAATGAAATCCTCACCACACCCCAACCGCAGAACCGTCTTCCCAGCTGAGAGGAAGCGCCCTGGCTGCAGCCAGCGGGCCGCAGCTCTCACCCAGCATGGTCAGGAGCAGGCCCACTACTTGCTGGTTGGCAGCCAAGGCCGGGCCAATGCCTGGATGGATGGCTATGTTGGCCAGCAGGCGGGTCAGCTTGATGAGCACGTCCTCCACCTCCGACGGCGGCCTCTGAGCGGTGGCCAGCCCTGTTCCTTCATAGGCCTGCTTCTGGGACTGCAGATCAAGTTGGTGGAATGTATGAAATAATGACAGCAGGGTCTGGATGCTTCCTTTCTCTTTGGCAAATTGTTCACGAGCCTGGTTGTTTTTCGCTGTTAGGTTGCCAAGAATAAAAACAATACGAATGACTAAATCCTGCAATAAATGAAAGACAAAGAGTTACATGTGTAAAGAGACTGGAACCAGTTATTGGGAAGAGCACAGCACTTAATTTATTTCCAACTTAATTAATGGTAAAGGGAAACGCATCTGGCTTCTACTCTCTTGGACAGTATGGTATTTGATTCCCAAGACTGGTGCAAATTGATAGAGCAGACTAAAAGCACTTGGCAGCAATCAAAGAATAAAGACTGATTGATGCAACCAGCAAGGTCTATTAATTTCAGATCCTTCATCTGAAATTCTGGCTGGCCTTTTTTTTTTCTTCCTTTAGAGAACAATTAGTCAAATGGGATAGCATTACTAAAAATGTATTATGTGTAACCCTAGCACTCTGAGAGGCCAAAGCGGGTCGATTGCCTGAGCTCATCAGTTTGGGACCAGCCTGAACAAGAGTGAGACCCTGTCTCTAAAAATAGCCAGGCACTGTGGCAGGTGCTTGTAGTCCCAGCTACTCGGGAGGCTGAGACAAGAGAATTGCTTGAACCCAGGAGTTTGAGGTTGCTATGAGCTGTGATGCCACGGTGGCACTCTACCGAGGGCAACATAGTGAGACTCTGTCTCAAAATAAAAGTAAAAATGTGTCATGTAAACCAAAGTTTTGACAAGTTTCTCTCTTTTTTTTTAACTTTTATTTATTTATTTATTTTATTATTTTCTTTTTTTTAGAAACAGAGTCTCACTATGTCACCCTTGGTAGAGTGCTGTGGCATCACAGCTCACAGCAACCTCAAGCTCTTGGGCTTAAGCAATCCTCTTGCCTCAGACTCCCATGTATCTGGGACTACTGGTGCCTGCCACAACGCCCGGCTATGTTTTTTTTTTTCTTTTTCTTTTTTTTTT